ATAGTTGACTTAAAATATTAAATTAGTTTCAGATGTACTACAAAGTGATTTGACATTTGCATACATTATGAGATGATCACTATAAGTCTGGTAACCATCTGTCACCACACAAAGTTATTACAATATTATTGACCATATACCTTATGCTACACTGTATATTATATCCTCATGATTTATTTTATAGCTTGAGGTTTGTACCTCTTAATCTCCTAAGTATTTCACCCCCATCCTCCTCCCTTCTGGCATCTACCTGTTTGTTCTCTGTAGAATTCATAGATGAGTCTGTTTTTATTTTGTTTGTCTTTGAAACATTTTAATTAAATTTTTTTTAGGCTGTGCCACACAGCATCTGAGATCTTAGTCCCCCAACCAAGAATTGAACCCGAACCCCCTGCAGTGGAAAGGTGGAGTCTTAACCACTGAACTGCCTGAGAAGTCCCTAATTGTTTTTTTTTAAGAGTCGACACATAAGTCAGGTCATAGAGTATTTGTTTTTCTCTGTCAGATTTAGTTCACCTAACATAATACCCTCTAGATCCATCCATGTTGTAACAAATGGCAAAATTTCACTTTTTATGGCTGAGTAATATTCCTTGGTACATGTATACAACATATTTTTCCATTCATCTATTGATGGATACATAGGTTGTTTCTTGGCTATTGTAAATAATGCTACAATGAATACTGGAGTGCATTTATCTTTTTGAATTACTGTTTTTTGTTTTCTTCAGATAAATACCCAGAAGTGAAATTGCTGGATCATATGGTAGCTCTTCTTTACCATCTGAGTCACCGGGGAAGCAGAAATGCAGGAGACCTGGATTTGATCCTTGGGGCCGGAAGATCCCCTGGAGAAGGGAATAGCTACCTGCTCCAGTATTCTTGCCTGGAGCATTCCATGGACAGGGGAGCCTGGCAGGTTACAGTCCATGAGGTCGCCAAGAGTTGGACATGACTGAGTGACTAACAACACCTGGTAGTTCTCTTTTTAATTTTTTGAGGAAACGTCATACTCTTTTCCATAGTGACTGCATCAATTTACAGTCCCACCAATAATGTGCAAGTGTTCTCTTTTCCCCACATTCTCACCAACACATTATTCTTCTTGATGATAGCCATTCTTACAGTTGTGCTTTTAATTTGCATTTTTCTGATGATGACTGATACTGAGCATCTATTCATATGCCTGTTGGCCATCTGTGTGTCTTGTTTAGAAGAAAAACATCTATTCAGGTCCTCTGCCCATTTTTAAATCAGGTTTTTTGTTGTTGTTGAACTGTATGAGTTCTTTGTGTATTTTGGATTTAGTTTCAATATAGTCCCTTTATTGAATATATTGTTTGCAAATATCTTCCCCATTCAGTAGGCTGTCTTTTTGCTTTGGTGATAGTTTCTTTCAACGTGCAAAGTCTTTTTAGTTTGATGTAGTCCTGTTTGCTTATTTTTGCTTTTATTTCCCTTTCTAGGAGACAGACACCCCCCCCAAAAAAAATATATTGCTAAGATGGATGTCAGAGAGCATACTGCTTATGAATTCTTCTAGGAGTTTTATGGTTTCGGGTCTTACATTTAAGTCTTAATCCATTTTGAGTTTATTTTGGGATATGGTGTGAGAAAGTAGTCCAGGTTTGATTCTTTTGCATGTAGCTGTCCAGTGTCACCAACAGCATTTATTGAAGAGCCTGACTTTTCCCCATCCATATTCTTGCCTCCTTTATTGTAGATTAATTGATCATATTAGTGTGGGTTTATTTCTGGGTTCTATATTCTGTTCCATTGATCTATGTGTGTTTTTTTTGTGCCAATAGCATACTTTTAAAATCAGGGTTTTTTGTTGGTTTTTTTTTTAATAAACTTCAGAACAGTTTAGACTTATAGAAAAATCAAGAAGATAGCACAGAGTTTCCCTGTCTTTACACTCAGGTTCCCCTATTATAAATATTTTACATTATATTGTACATATTTTCCAGTAGTCATGTATGGATGTGAGAGTTGGACTATAAAGAAAGCTGAGCACCGAAGAATTGATGCTTTTGAACTGTGGTGTTAGAGAAGACTCTTGACAGTCCCTTGGACTGCAAGGAGATCCAATCAGTCCATCCTAAAGGAAATCAGTCCTGGGTGTTCATTGGAAGGACTGATGCTGAAGCTGAAACTCCAATACTTTGGCCACCTGATGTGAAAAAGTGACTCACTGGAAAAGACTCTGATGCTGGGAAAGATTGAAGGCAGGAGGAGAATGGGAAGACAGAGGATGAGATGCTTGGATGGCATCACCAACTTGATGGACATGGGTTTGAGTAGACTCCGGGAGGTGGTGATGGACAGGGAGGCCTGGCATGCTGCGGTTCATGGGGTCGCAAGGAGTTGGACACGACTGAGTGACTGAACTGAACTGATTGTACATTTGTCACAATTAAAGAACCAGAATTAGCCCATTATTATTAATTCAGGTTTACATTTTATTCAGAATTCCTTAGTTTTTACCTAATGTCCTCTTTCTCTTCAAAACACCCACCCAGAATACCACATTACATTTAGTTGTCATGTCTCCTTGGGCTCCTCTTGTCTGGGGCCATTTTCTAGACTTTCCTTGTTTGATGACCTTGACAGTTTTGAGAAGTACTGAACCACCTTTTGGTAAAGTGTCTCTCAGTTGGAACTTTTCCTATGTCTTTCTCATGATTAGAGTGGAATTCTTGAGAGGAAGGCCACAGAGGTAAAATGTCATTCTCTCTGCATCACATCAAAGGTACATACCATCAACTTGACTTATCAATGTTGATCTTAATCTTGATTACCTGCTTGAGGTAGTGTTTGGATTTTCCACTGTAAAGTTGTTTTCTCCCCTACCCTTTTCAGTCTTTGCAAGGAAGTCACTATGAGTGGCCCACAAGAGTGGTGGTTTACTCTCTTCTTGAAGGGTAGAGTATCTACATACAGTATTTGGGATCATTCACGAGAGGTTTGTATATTATCCCCCATTTATATCAGAATAGATTTGCTATTTATTTTATATTTGGAGTTATAATCCAATACTGGTTTATTTTATTGCTCAAACTGTCCCAGATTTGGCCTGTGGAAGCTCTCTCAGCTGGCTCCTGTGTCCTCTAACGTATCTCCAGCTTCCTGTTGCTTGTTTGTCTGGCACTTCCTTACTTTCTATACTACAAAATGTTCCAGGCTCATCTTGTGTATTTCCTGCTCCAGTCCTAAATTCGATCATCCCTCCAAGGAGAAAGTCAAGGCAACGTTTTAATCTTAGCAAATGTGTATCTGACTGGAAGTTGGGGCAATTTCTCAGGTGGACAGGAATAAGACTCAGGCCACACTCAGGAGGGGACTTTCCCAGCAGCAGCAACCAGAATTGCAAGTCTTTAGTGAGAAATAGATGACTCATCAGCTCCCCAGGTTGTCTCCTCCTTCCCCCTCTTGCTGACAAGACTGTCCCTAAACCAGCTCAGACAGAGAGACCCAGGTTAGAAAGTGTCCCCACCCACAGGGCCAGTGAAGAATGGCCTGTTGCAGGCCAAGTTGGGGTTTAACCATGACCAGCTGATACCTCCATTTGTATTATTTATACTCCCTTCTACCTGCAGAAAGAATTAAATATGATTACTCTCAAATTTACAGCTACAATAAAACTATTTTTAATAATAGCTTGGGTAAAAGGATAAGAACATTGTGAAGAAGAGTGTGTGTGTAGTAATTTTGTCCCAGACACCCAGACTGGGGCAATTTCCTGAGGTTCCTTGAATCACAGTTTGCTAGCACCAGAAATAAGAAATATTTAAGAAATAAATATGAAATAAATAAGCTTCACCTAGCATGTTATAGCTGAAATGGAGCAAATGATTTCTCAGGAATTACACAGCTAATGAGTTGAAGAAGTAGGAATACTGGAGCAGGTCTCCTGATGTCTAGGTCTTTTCAAATACCCATTCTTGCCTCCCTTTCCAGGAGAGCAAAAAGAATAGCTTTCAGGTCTTCTGGGTGACACAGTGTGAAGGCAACACTTTCAGGCTTCTTTCACTTGCTGGATATCTTCTGTGGATGTGTCTGAGAAGTCATAGGGGCTATAATTAGGGGTTATTAGCATCCACAGATACTTGGAGGTAAGGAATGTAGGATGTAGACACTGGGATACCCAAGTGAATACTGGGGATCCTACCATTTCCCCACAGTCAAGTTTTTAATGGTTAAATTAGCAACTTTCTAGTTGTTGTCCTCAACATTTGATCAAAGTTGGTGGGGGAGGGGGCGAGTAAGAAATAAAACTCAGAAATCTTGAAACTTTTTTCAAGAGATTTTGAGATTTGGACTTAGAGATTTTAATACTACCTTCTGCTTGAAAAATACAATTATTTCTTTTCTTCAGTCTTCACTGACCTACTCCCAACACTCTCCCTTCAACAACTCGTGAAGGAGGTGTTTTCAATGATCTTTATATAGGCTGAGATCTTTGTATAGGCTTGGAATTCAGAGAAAGGATTCTGGGTCTGGTGTCACTTGGTGTGGCTGCAATAAAGAGATGAATTAGCATCAGGCTATTCTTTACTTGCTCTCTTGGTGACCTTTCTAGGGCTACATGAGATATCATGTCTCTATCTATAAACACCTTCTAGGGCAAGGACAATGGGTGGCCCAGGAGAGCATCAGCAAGTAGATAATTATTATGTGCTTTTGATGATGATGAAGATAATATTAGAGACTTTGGGGATTTAAAAAATATTCAATTGGAGAATTGTCCTTGAAGATCCTCCCCAGCTAGCTTCTCCAGCATTCTGAGATCCTTTAGAAGAGCAGAGTGAAGGTGTTTAAAGCCTGCCTTCAGGTTGAATCTAGAGGAAGCTCTTGCGTGGAAGAGGTACAATACATTATTGCCTGCCGTGTTCCCTCTTGAGTTTATCTTCTGCCTCTTCATGATCTTTTTATTTTTAAAAAGTAATTCATTAATAAAATTATTATCCAGACTTTTTAATACTCAAATATGTCTTTTTTTTATTGTTTTAATTTGAATATGTTGCATTATGTGTTCTTCAATTTGCTTCTTCTTCCTAACAATAAATCCTGGATATCTTTCTCTGCCAGGATACCGAGATCTGCCTCATATGGGCAATTCTTTGTTCTGGAACCTGTGTGATTCCTTGAGCGTCAGTTTTCGGCCGCATCTCTGCCTCCTGGTGTTATAGACCGCCTGACCTCTTGGGGCGTGCTGTAGTGGGAGGTCCCGGAGGAAGCTCGGAGGGTGGGCGGGGTCCGAGGCCAATTGGGGTATGCAGATGAGGTGGGCGGGTCCACATATACCCGCGGGTAGCGGCCGGCGGTTGAGCTGGGTCTCCCGGATTCAGTCAGAGGCAACCTACGGAACGTGCTTCACCGATCACAGCGGAGCCTGGTCCCCGGCTGTCCCCGGAGCGGGCCATGCCCCCGCGGGAGCTAAGCGAGGCTGAATCGTCCCCGCTCCGGTCCCCGACCCCTCCCCCGGGACGGGGCAGCGCGTCCCCCGAGCTGGGCATAAAGTGCGTGCTGGTGGGCGACGGCGCGGTGGGCAAGAGCAGCCTCATCGTCAGCTACACCTGCAATGGGTACCCCGCGCGCTACCGGCCCACAGCGCTGGACACCTTCTCCGGTACGTTCAACGGCCACGGCGGCCGGGTGGCTGGGGGTGGGTTTGTGCACTCGGGGGCTGCGGCTGGAGCCGAGGAGCTAGTGCACCGAAGCCCCCGGGGAGGCTGGCGGGAGCGGGCCCCGAGGTGGCGCTGCTAAGGCTTGGTGGGATCCAGGACGCTCTTTCTTTTTCTTTAAAAAAAAATTTTTTTTTTCATTTATCTTTGGCTGTTCTGGGTCTTCGTTGCTGCGCCGGTTTTTCTCTAGTTGCGGCGAGCGGGGACCACTGTTCGTTGTAGTTCGCTGCTTTTCACTGCGGCGGCTTCACTTGTTGCGGAGCATCGGCTCTAGAGCGTCCGGACTTCAGTAGTTACCGCACGTTTAGTTTTGGTTCCCGGGCTCTAGAGCACAGGCTCAATAGTTGTGGTCATGGGCTCGGTTGCTCTGAGGCATGTGGGATCTTCCTGGACCAGGGCTCGAACCCTTGTCTCCTGCATTGGCAGGTGGATTCTTTACCACTGAGCCCCCAGGGAAGCCTTTTTCTTTTCTTTATTAGAGTATAATTTCTTTACAATGTTGTGTTAGTTTCTGCTCTGCAACGAAGTGAATCAGCTATATGTATGCCTATGTCTCCCTCTTGAGCACTCCCCTCCCCCCATACCACCCATCAAGAGCACAGAGCTGAGCTCTCTGGGCTGTACTGTAGGTTCCTGCTAGCTGTCTATTTTATACAAGGTAGTGTATTTACGTGAAACTTAATCTCAGAACGCTCTTTCTAACTCAGTCTTTCCCCTGCCTCTCCCCTGAAGTGCAAGTCCTGGTTGATGGAGCCCCGGTGCGCATTGAGCTCTGGGACACAGCGGGACAGGTGAGAAGTTGGACCATCTTCTACTGGTCTGGGGTGAGGTGGGTTGGAGGCTGGGAGGATCCCGGGTCCATCAGGAATGGAAAAGGCCTTGGGCCCTTAGTTACAAGTCTCAGTCTCTAAACCCAGATGACAAGGGATTCCCTGCGTCCTGTGGCAGGGAATAATGGCCTGGACTTTCCATCCTAGGAAGACTTTGACCGCCTTCGCTCCCTCTGCTACCCGGATACAGATGTCTTCCTGGCCTGCTTCAGTGTGGTGCAGCCCAGCTCCTTCCAAAACATCACAGAGAAATGGCTGCCGGAGATTCGTACTCACAATCCCCAGGCGCCTGTGCTGCTGGTGGGTACCCAGGCCGACCTGAGGGATGATGTCAATGTACTGATTCAGCTGGACCAGGGGGGCCGGGAAGGCCCGGTGCCTCAACCCCAGGCTCAGGGTCTGGCTGAGAAGATCCGGGCCTGCTGCTACCTGGAGTGCTCTGCCTTGACGCAGAAGAACTTGAAGGAGGTGTTTGACTCGGCCATTCTCAGTGCCATTGAGCACAAAGCCCGGCTGGAGAAGAAACTGAACGCCAAAGGTGTGCGCACCCTCTCCCGCTGCCGCTGGAAGAAGTTCTTCTGTTTTGTTTGAACAGCTGTGGCAGCAAAATGATCAGTAGGCCAATGGCCACAGACTTCTAGAACCTGAGACATGGGGCCTTTGAGGGGCTCTGCGGGCAGGGCCAGGCCACCCTCATGGGACTCAGTTCCCGTCTGAACGCTGTGGAGCCATGGGCCTTTAACTGCCCGCTCTTCTATGCCAGGGTGAGCCTAGGAGGAGGAGCCTGGAGGAGGGAAGGCTCTGACTTGGATTTCTGTGGTCAAGGCTGACAGAGAAATCCTAGTACTTTGATTTTCATGGGATGATCCTGACAGCATCAGCTGTGTCCAAGCAGTTTGGGATCCAATTCCCAGTTTCTTATTATGGGCCCTCAAGCCAGGCTGGCTGAATTAGGACCCCTTGTGGTGGTCCCCATCCCTTCCTTGGCCCCAGGGGTGAGGAAGAGCCTGAGGAACAGCTGGGCATCTCGGAAGGCTGGAAGGTGTCCAGCCCTGATTTGGAGAGTTTAGAATGAATTGAGTAAGACAGAGGTCTGTGAGAGATTGAGAAGGAGCAGAAAGTACAGCCTTGGAGCCTTAGGACTAGAGGCAGGCTGGGGAGAAGACAGATCAGAGGGCTCCTCTTGGTACGAGGAAGAGAAAGGAGAGTAGAGAAGTGGGGCAGCTGAGGAGCAAGGCTGACACTTGGGCCGTCCTCAAAGCCTCAAGGCCAGGGAGGGCGGGGCCGGTGCCTGAGAAGAACTGGGTCTCAGGGCTCCCTAGGCACTGCCCAAACTGGCTGGACCAGGAGTGGGGCAGGAAGTGAGAGGCAAAGCCCAGCAAGAGGAGGGGGAGGAGCTGCAAATTGGAGCCTAAAGTAAGAAGGGGCTTTCTTCAAAGTCATAGCCTAGAAGACAGGGCAGTGTAGAATCTGCAAATAAAGCCTTAAGTTTCTGAAGCTGCTGTTTCTGTGTCTTTTTCTGGAGAGGTCAGCATGTTGGTCCCTCAAGGCCCAACAGTCTGGATAGAGACAACTTGGGTACCAAAAGACTGAGGCTAGATCGAAAGGTGAGGGCTGGTCTAGATGGGACCGTGATGGGAACTGGCCTGGGGGGAGGGGTTTGGGGTGCCCCATTTGGGGCTTAGCTGGTTCCCAGGAGAGCTAGCGTGGGAAGCAGCCTGGAAACGGGTTTCCCCAGGTGTCAGCGCCAGAGCTGCTTTCCCATGACCTCACCAGGCGGGAGGTGCCCCTCCCCTCTCCCCTCCCTTCTGGAGCACAGTGCTCAGCCCGGGGCTCTGGGGCAGTCCCGAGCTCTCTAACCTTCCTGCTCTGATCCTTCCAACAGTCTACAGTGCCCCAGGGTTTCAGACCCTGAACGCAAAGGGACCCCCATACAACTTAAACATCAACCACTGGCCAAACTTCTTGGACTTGGGTTGGTTGAACCCAGCCAGTCTTTAGACTTAGCACTCAAAGGCTACATAAGGCCCTAGTGAAGGTCAGGATGCCAGTGTCAATTTATATTGCTTTTTTTTTTTTTTTTTTAACTTCNTTTTTGGCCTCTTCTGTGCGGGTTGTGGGATCTTAGTTCCCCAACCAGGGACTGAACCTGCCCTCAGCAGTGAGAGTGAAGTGTCCTAACCAGTGGGCCACAAGGGAACTCTGGTCAACAATTTAAATAGAAGTCTGGTCCCAGAAATCCTTTGAGAGTGAAGGTTCATTGATTGAGGGCTTGGAGAGGAGCAGGGATTCAGAGAACATTCCCTGGACTTGGAGCTGGAAGGACATTTAACAGGTGCATTTGGAGTGGGAGGGGCAACACTTTACCTGTAAGGAAAGGGAGGCTCAAAGGAAAAAGGTAATATTCCAAGTAATATACTATTATAAGTGGCCATAAGAGCACTTGGCAAACTCTAGAGTTGGTACATGGTAAGTGTTGTTTGTGTGGAGAGGTATTTCTAAGGCCCACCTGGGGCACTTGCTAGGCAACTAATGGGCCAGGTGAGCCCTCTGTCCCAGCCCAGCTCCCGCTGCAGGAAGTTGTGTGTGTGTGTGAGAAAGAACGTGGCCGTGGGACAGAAATCCTAGCCAAGTGAAACCTCAGATAATCCCCAAGTTTAGTTTTGGCCAAGACTGTCCACCTTCTGCCCCACCTGGGCTCTTCCCCCAGAGCTCCAGCCACCTGTCTCCCTTTGCCCCTTGTCCCCTCAGGTGGATGGAGTCTTACCCCCACCCCGCTCCATGGGAGGCTGTTACCTCAACGCAGCCTGACACACTCCCTTCCTGGGGGCAGAGACCCCAGTTCAAGTTCAGGCTCTGGCATCAACCATGACCTTAGGCAGTTTTTTTTTCCTTCTCTGTGCCTCAGTTTCCTCATTCACAAAATGAAACAAGTCTCTGGATTAGAGATTTTCAAACCACTCCAAGGTGACTTAAAGGTGCTATGGGTTGGGGGAGGAAGCCTAATCAAGTGATCTTTGGGGTCTCTCCCACTTCCAGCTTCTTCCCTAATTCTCTAATGGTACTAGTATACCCGTGTCACTTTGTCTTCCCTCCTGCTGGGTCACTGAGCCTTGTCTGCCTCGCACCTGCATCTCTGCCACTGCTGCTTCCCACCCTTAGCCCCTAGTGCTGCTTCCTTTCTCCTGGCACTTCCCTGACTCAAGACTCTTACTCGCTCTCAGTGCCTGCAGTGAACTCCCAGCTTCTCATTTCAGCACTCAAGACCACAAATCTGACACCAACCTGAACAAGGCCAGATTGTCCCAGTGATCCTCACTCCCTGATCCCCAATCATTTTTTTACTTCTGAGTCCAAGTCTTTGCTTTTGCCAAATCCTCTAGAAAGTGCCCCCCACCTACCCTCCCAAACAGATGCCCAGTTTCTCCTTTAGCCATCTTCCAGTCAATACTCACTTCTCTAGGACCTATATCATTAAGGTCTGCACTGCTGTCCTGGTCCATTGAGGAGACACTAAATTTAGTCCTTTGCTCAGGCTACACCACCCACCCCCCACCCCCACCCCGACCATCTTCAGCTAAATGAAGAGGGAATAAGTCCCATTCATGCCCCTGTGTTCCCACAGGATCATGGGCTCAGGCAACATTTGCTGCAGGTCATTAAGTGCTTGGGGCTTCCCTTGTGGAAGCCCCAATGGTAAAGAATCTGCCTGCAATGTGAGAGACTTGGGTTTGATCCTTGGGTTGGAAAGATCCCCTAGAGAACGGAAAGGCTACCCACTCCAGTATTTTGGCCTGGAGAATTCCATAGGCTGTACAGTCTATGGGGTCACAAAGAGTTGGACACAACTGAGCAACTTTCACTTTCAGTTTCATTAAGTGCTTGAGATAAAAAAGCCAAGCAGTGAGCCCTGCAGGAGATCCTGAGGATAAAGTTCATCTCCAGGTCTGTGTCCAGGGGCCTTATCATAGGCCTAAAGAGTAATGGAATAGCTTGGAATTTCCATCTTCATCCAGTGGTTAAGGCTCCTTGATGCCACTGCAGGGGGCCTGGGTTTGATCCCTGGTCAGGGGACTAGATCTCACATGCTACCACTAAGTGTTCAAATGCTACTACTAAAGATCTCTCATGCATCAACTAAATGATCCTACATGCTACAATGAAGATCTCACATGATGCAACTAAGACCTAGATACAGTAGAGGTAAATATTTTTTAAAAAGAGTGATGGCTTGCTTAAAAGGCCCTCTGTGGCACTGGGGCCCATGCCTGTACAGAGCAAAAGGGGATTTACCTCTTGTTCCAAACCCACCGTCTCACCTGCTGTGTCCCTACAATGTGATCTCTCTTTACTTTTCTGGGACTGTTTTTCTCTCTTTATCTTTCTTTCATTTGCCTCTTTTCCCCTATTTTCTCTGCTCTTGAATCTAAAGGAACATTGAATATATTAACTGGAAATAAGTGTATGTTTCTTACATATACAGTCTTAAATTAGTGCTTATCAATGTAAAATTATTTTAATATCTGTGTAACCAACCCTTAGTTGATGTTTTTAAATACCTATTTTTTTTTCACAATCAATGCTTCGCTTACAGAAAAACTGGAAAATCCAAAGATTGAAATGTACTAGTAGTCTTAATTCCAAAAGATAATCCATAGTAACATTTTGATGTTACTTCCTTTTGGTTTTCTCTGTATATTTTTGAAATATTTCTTGTGATTATGATAGATATAATTTTGTATTTTCCGTTTGAAATTTTTATAGCTTTTTCATGTTATTACAAACTCTGATTAGAATCTGTAACCATTTATGTATGTTTGTTTACTATTTCACTCTGATCATAATTTCTTCAACTAGATCCCCATTTGGGTGCATTCAGTTTGTTTTCCTTTAAACATTTTTTTCTTTTATAAATGAGATTAAATCCACAGTTGATTATTTTTTCCACCATGGATTGGTGACCATTTACAGAAAAAGCATCCTTAACATCTTTGGCTTGAAGACTGGGCCACCATATGATCGTGAATGGGGCCTATGAGGGAGCTTGGGTTTCTTTGCCTGTTGACTTGTCAGAGGCTCTTTCTGTTGAAGCATGACTAGCAGATTGTGGGTGTTCAATAAATACTACATGATGACAAGGTATGTATATATGACATATTGGTGTTCATGTACATCCCTCTGTGTCCCTGTTTTTGCTCTTGTGTATTTCAAGTGGGTATTACCTTTGTGCAGACCTCTGAACCCTTCCATGCACATGCAAGTCTGTGTATCTACATGTGTAAATGTGAATGTTTGTCTTCATGTGAGATGTGTGTAGCTCCACATGTGTACGTTTGTGTATCCACATAATGCCTGCCCTTAGGAGTGTGTATTGTACACAATTCTCTGTGCGTATCTGGGTGTGTGTTGGACTTCCCATTTGGCTCAACAGTAAAGAATCCTCCTGCTGACCTGGATATCTGGGTTCAGTTCCTGGTTTAGGAGGGTCTCCTGGAGGAGGGCATGGCAACCCACTCCAGTATTCTTGCCTGGAGAATCCCCATGGACGGAAGAACCTGGTGAGCTACAGTCCATGGGGTCGCAAAGAGTCAGACATGACTGAATGACCTAGCATGCATGCACAGGTGTGTTGGGTGTGTGTTGGCCTCTGTGCCTGTGTGTGTACATCTAGNGCATGCACAGGTGTGTTGGGTGTGTGTTGGCCTCTGTGCCTGTGTGTGTACATCTAGGTTGGGCCTTGTTTCTTCGGGACTGTATGTCTTTGTGTCTGTGTGTGCCCAGGCTCAATTCTGAGTGGGTCTGTTTGTGTTTGTGTGTGTGTCGGGGGGGGGATCTCCTCCACGAGCATCTTTGTGCTGGGTGTGTGTGCTGAGCTGGTGTGTGAGTGTCTGCACACTTGAGGGAGCTGGGCCTTGCTTGCTTTCCCCCAGGTAGCAGAACGGAGCCCAGGGCAGAGGTGACACGCCCTCCGATCTCCTCATTCTCCTGGGAACCAGCTTGGGAGAGTGAGTGAGACCGAGAGCAGACTGCGTCAGGAGCACCGGCCCCTTTTGCAACCAGCCCAGGCCCCAGGCGGTAACCAGGCTCTCACAGGTCAGCCCTGCCCACTGTGCCTGGCTGCCAGGAAACCCCGCTCCCAGCAGGGCTGCGCTGTCAGCGCCCTCCCTGGGCCCAGGCCAAATCCTCTGGTGAGCGGAACTCAGCCAGCCGAGAGGCCACATTAGTCACGCTGTGGCAACAGTAGGGAGTGACTTCCCAGGCCTGGGCAGTGCTGACTGTCCCAGGAAACCACTGCTTTCTGTCCCTGGCCTTGGTGATGCTTAGACAGCCTGGTCTGCTCCAGTATTGCCTTCCATTCTTACAAATGAACTTCCAAATGGGCCAGAGGGCTCTTATTAGCTCTGATTTTCAGGACCTGGGCTCTGGCCCTGCGTCCAGGCTTCTTTCCAGTGTGCCTCCTGGAGGTTCTGCCCCCTTGAAATAGACCTCTCAGAGGG